AATGGTGTCTTCCAAACAAATAATTTCCTAGCATCAAGAACGTGTTTGAGTAATTAACAACATTTATTATACATGTAATGACACGAATAAACATATTTGTACTGGAAGTTGTCTGCTGTTGTATTCAATGGTGCATCAGAAATATTATATATAAAGAAAATTACCTGAGGTAATGTAATTTGCTGATTCAGTTGGAGAGAACTTAAGTTTAATTTTTCCTCTTTAACAGTCGGTAAGTCTGTTCATCATGTTTTCTTCTGAACACAAATTCTCTTAAAAGTCACATAACACATGTTCCAAATACTAGTATACTTATCATTATCACCATGGCATTCTCCATACAATGCAGTTTTTTCTAAGCCATGACTTCTCCTAAACGGTAGATGACAGAGGGATGCTGAGGAGTAGGGCATGGTCCTTTCTGGTATAGGACATTAACAAACACGTGACCATATAAGGCTGAGAATCACTCTCCTGTTCAGAAACATTAAGAGAAAGTTTTGTAGAATGATACAAGTAATTGAGACCTTTTGGTTAGTTATTTTAAAGATGTCAACACATTTTAGCTCTGTGATCTGACCTTAAAAGTGGGTCAAGGTTACATATTTGAACAAGCTTCACAAGATTTCATATGCATGACTATTGTGACTTTGAATATGACTTTAAGGATTCGAACCAAGCCACAATCTGACAAAGGCCCTTGACCACTTGTTATTTGGAATTATAGTTAAATATGAACTCATTGGATAAATAACAATCCAATCCACAAGAAGCCAATGTGCCTGCATCACTCACCTGGTATTCCAATGTTTTCAAAGTGTGTCCATATCAAAAATATTTCAACAAACTTTGAAAACCAGAAGACTTACACTGCATATACCTGTCTTCATTTTTAAACTGATAAATCTTTAGTCAATACAATTTATAGGCAGGTGAAGCTGTTTAGGTGTTTTAATGAATTTGACACATGTGTGGGTCAAAGTAATTTCCTTTCACTTAAGCTTGCCAGGCTCCAAAGAACCTATCAACCAAATATCTTGATTCTTTCCGCCAAATTTTATCATCCCCGGAAGCTACCAGCCAAACATGTTGATCCATTTGTTATTGAGAAGAAGTCACTTCAATGAAAATATTGGTGCCAGATGGATGTTGGACTGACAAATGACAGGTTGTCTTCAGACTTGCTAAGCTAATGACAACCATTAGCCATTGGTTATAAAGAAGAATCAGCTCGCAGATTTTAACACATTCGAGGGCTCCGAAAATGAAATGAGTTGAACTTGGTAGCCCTCCATCCCAGCATGCTACAGGACCAATAGGTACACTCTTTGTTACTGAGAATAAATTGTTCACACTGTAAACTGAAGCGGGAGTTGATGATTCTATAATCTCGTCCTGACAAGAAACGAGGATTTTAACAGAATAGGTTTTCAAAAGCAAAAATGTAACAATGAAGATCATGACTTGATAATCCATTTGGTTAGGTGTAGGAATAAGAATGTTTAAAGTGTACTGCTAGCTAGCCAACAAGTCTGCACTTAAAGGAGAGTTGGAAATGAAAACACAAATCCAAATTATTCTTAAAAATTTTGTTTTTTATTTGACTAAATTATAACACAATTCATTTTACATTAATACTGTAAACATGGAAATTTGTGATACTGAATACAAGTCCAACATCAGTAACTCTGCATTCACCTGTCTGTTTACTGCAGTAGATAGACACATCTAACACTCACCTGTCTGTTTACTGCAGTAGATAGACACATCTAACACTCACCTGTCTGTTTACTGCAGTAGATAGACACATCTAACTCTCACCTGTCTGTTTACTGCAGTAGATAGACACATCTACCACTCACCTGTCTGTTTACTGCAGTAGATAGACACATCTAACTCTCACCTGTCTGTTTACTGCAGTAGATAGACACATCTACCACTCACCTGTCTGTTTACTGTAGTAGATAGACACATCTAACACTCACCTGTCTGTTTACTGCAGTAGATAGACACATCTACCACTCACCTGTCTGTTTACTGTAGTAAATAGACACATCTAACACTCACCTGTCTGTTTACTGCAGTAGATAGACACATCTAACACTCACCTGTCTGTTTACTGCAGTAGATAGACACATCTAACTCTCACCTGTCTGTTTACTGTAGTAGATAGACTCATCTACCACTCACCTGTCTGTTTACTGTAGTAGATAGACACATCTAACACTCACCTGTCTGTTTACTGCAGTAGAGAGACACATCTAACACTCACCTGTCTGTTTACTGCAGTAAATAGACACATCTAACACTCACCTGTCTGTTTACTGCAGTAGAGAGACACATCTAACACTCACCTGTCTGTTTACTGCAGTAAATAGACACATCTAACACTCACCTGTCTGTTTACTGCAGTAGAGAGACACATCTAACACTCACCTGTCTGTTTACTGCAGTAAATACACACATCTAACACTCACCTGTCCGTTTACTACAGTAGATAGACACATCTAACACTCACCTGTCTGTTTACTGCAGTAAATAGACACATCTAACACTCACCTGTCTGTTTACTACAGTAGATAGACACATCTAACACTCACCTGTCTGTTTACTGCAGTAGATAGACACATCTAACACTCACCTGTCTGTTTACTGCAGTAGAGAGACACATCTAACACTCACCTGTCTGTTTACTGCAGTAGAGAGACACATCTAACACTCACCTGTCCGTTTACTACAGTAGATAGACACATCTAACCATGCAAATTTCTCAGAAATTTCCACATTTACACAGTGATCACAATACAACACAATCTCACCTTCTAGCTTATGTCTGAAGGATAGACTAAATTTTGACAGAAAGCACCTAGGTTTTTACTTCGTAATACTCTCCCTGTAATCATATTCACTATATACATGTCTCAGTGCAATGGGCAAGTACTCTGCAAAAGCTTAATCTTCCATGTATTACGATTATTACCCATCATACTGTATAAACACAAAAAGTTTGTTCAATTAGTGATGACATCATCAATTTATGTGTATCACATGTTATAATTACCCAATACTTTAAAATGTATAAACACAAAAAGTTACTTCAATTAATGATGACATCATCAATTTATGTGTATCACATGTTATAATTACCCAATACTTTATACTGTATAAACAAAATAAATGTATTTTGTTTCTTTTGTTGAGGCAGTGAAATCCACATGAACATTTGTATCGACTAAACATTTATAAAAGACATGTTTAGGTATTTCTTGTAATGCAGTATATTTAGTTTGAAGTCATCATTTTCTGAGTAAAACACAAAACATACAATCAAATTTCTCAATTATCACATTTTCAGCACTGGTGCTATAAAATTCTGAACATAAACAATTTCTATACAGATAATGGCAGGTTTTATGGTTTTACATACATATCACAATCACACACAAACATGTTTGAAACTTATCTGGTGCAAACAATCCATATTGTCAGAAAACAAATTTTCTCAAAATAAGAAGGATCTATACATCAAGGGGTCTGACTGGTGATCTCTAACTTTACAGCAGCATGAAACCCTCTTCACTACCCATCAAACCCTCTAAACCCTCTTCACTACCCATCAAACCCTCTTCACTACCCATAAACCCTCTAAACCCTCTTCACTAGCCATCAAACCCTCTAAACCCTCTTCTCTACCCATCAAACCCTCTAAACCCTCTTCACTACCCATCAAACCCTCTAAACCCTCTTCACTACCCATCAAACCCTCTAAACCCTCTTCACTACCCATCAAACCCTCTAAACCCTCTTCACTACCCATCAAACCCTCTAAACCCTCCTCACTACCCATAAACCCACTTCATTTCCTGCAGTCTGAACTGGACAGAAAAGTGAATTGAAAACTTAACCCAATTTGACAACTAATAAAACTTTTTCATGACAGTAAGTTTGATCAATTCTTAGAATTTCATATACTTATGTTCAACAGTATTTTTTCCCTTTGGGCCAGGTGAGCTAAAAATTGCAGCAAAGTGACATTACTACTATAAAGTCCTCTATTGGATAAGTTTAAACCTACATTTTTGATAATAAATACGCAGTTAACATTCTCTAGATGGGATTATATTAGGAATCAAAACACATATGCATGGCCCTTCAAGCTGCTCAGAACTACACTCTTCAACTTCCATACACAGCAAATAAATTGTTCTGAAAAAGCAACCCCACTGATTTTGTGTGGATCATCAGATACCACTTTGTCTTCAGTCAACAAAATTACACCCCATTCCCTTACATAGATGAAGATTTCTTGTACGACAAAGTCTTAGTGGATAATCTTTGCATAATGAGATTCTGTGTTTCTAAAAATATATATTGACAAATAATTGTACACGTGGCTATAATAAGAAGCTTTACAGACCGGAAATGTCATGTTGTAACAATTTAGACACAAAAACCATTCTTAATATTTTATAAAACATCACCACATAAAAATAAATAAACAAATAATATATTTATGAATCCACAGCCACACTATACATTATATCCACACATCACACACATTTGTTATAGTTCATCACTTGCATAGCTGACATTACACGCCTGTAAAATAATATCATGCACCTTCTTTGACATAACCACCAGTTTCCATGCAACTCAATTCTGTTGAAGAGGGAATAAGAACACATTTTATCTCCAACCACAGGCAAGAAATATATTTTCTTGCATTCACAAAATCCTACCAACGTTTTATAATCTAGACACCAAGCAAACAAAATCACTCTTCCTTATCTTATATGAATCACAGAGCTTGGAATCCATTTAGTAGTTAACACTGATACTGTTCGTTTATATATCTGTTGGAGCCATTGCCATGCCTTACAAATTGGCCGCAAGCTACATATAAATTCTTATCTTCAATTAAATATTAAACATTAGCATATAATCTTCACTGACTAAGTATTTTACAGTAGTATCATCAAGTATACTATAGGTATTAATCAGTCAATTAAAAATCTAATCAAAATGACAAATTATAAAATAGCACATTGTTTTAAGCATGAACACCAAATTATTTGACGTGTACAGGCCAGTTGCCCACTAGGTCTGTTATCAATCAAATATTCTACATCATCTCACATCCTTAACCAATTTCTCACATTTTATCCCATGTTCTCACTTCAACACTCACATCCTATATCAAGTTCTAACTTCACATCTGTGTTCCAAGATACTAAATACCTCACACTCTCACATCACTCTCATGTTGGTTGAGTTCTGATGTCTTCAATACAGTCTTCACTTTTACTTGTTACATGTAACACCTGAGGTCTCCGACTTGCTACATGTGACTTCTGAGGTCTCTGACTTGTTACATGTGACACCTGAGGTCTCTGACTTGTTACATGTGACTTCTGAGGCCTCTGACTTGTGACATGTGACTTCTGAGGTCTCTTGACTTGTTACATGTGACTTCTGAGGCCTCTGACTTGTTACATGTGACTTCTGAGGCCTCTGACTTGTGACATGTGACTTCTGAGGTCTCTTGACTTGTTACATGTGACTTCTGAGGTCTCTGACTTGTGACATGTGACTTCTGAGGCCTCTGACTTGTGACATGTGACTTCTGAGGTCTCTGACTTGTGACATGTGACTTCTGAGGTCTCTGACTTGTTACATGTGACACCTGAGGTCTCTGACTTGTCACATGGGACTTCTGAGGCCTCTGACAACTTGTCACATGGAATTCCTAACAATCTTGATCATTCAATGTTCCCTTACTTCTAAACCACAGATGTGTCATCACCACTGTCAGGTCTGAAAAAAAGAAATCCCAAAGTTAGTTGCACTTTATTTGTATCTTTCTATAGAAACAGCTCTGTCTATAATTATTTCCTGACAGAAAAACTAAGGTTATTGTAAAACAGAAAGTATGAAGATGTGAAAGACAACATCTACAAGTCCATGTGTAAATATAAATACATAAACTGAATCAGAAGACAAAGACTCCCCTACCTTGGTTCATTAATATTGTTTTGGTTGTTGCTGAACTCGACCTGTGGTCCGGAGGTGCCAGTGCCTTGTGGTTTCTGTCCACTGTTAGTAGTGTTGACAGCAGCTGTCCCTGCTGCAGCAGCAGCCTCACTGCCGTCCATCTCCTTCTTACTCTCCTCTGTTGTTGGTTGGCTACTGGCCGCGGTTGTAGCTGCAGCTTCCTTGCGGTCTTTCCTCTCGGGTCGAGGTGGTGGTGGTACAGGGACTTTGGATAGGTAACTGAAGGACCATGGCAGACCTGAATGATAAACAAAATAGCTTAGAACAGATGTCCTGTGTAAGGTGTTTATTCAGTGGACTGGTTTTCCTGTTACACAGGATCAAAGTCACTTGCTTTCTTGTACAAATTGAACTCAGAGATTTCCTTAAATATTGTCTTAAAACACAATATGTTTAGATTTTATTTGATGTTTGCAAAGAATTCAATAGTTTGAGACAGGAATAACAAAGATATAACATGTAGGTGTTTTATTGCACGTGACAAATGGAAAACAATAGTTTCTATGACAATATGTATCTTGTATAACACATCAGTATCTAGATACTTGTGATGGGATAGAAGACGAGATAATGACAATATGTATTTGGTGTAATATTATGTAATACATCAGTAATTGAAGATAATTACCTAGGTCTTTAGAGCCACCTGACGCTCCCTTTACAGTAGAATCTCTTTTCCTTTTGTTCTCATCTTGATCTGTTTTGTGACTACAATGATACAGAAATAACTGCTACTTATTATTGTCGATCATTTCTTCTGATGGTTTTGATTAAGACCCATTTCTTACTAAAACTTGTAGTAGTTGTAAGTATGACTTTCATGGAATTCATTCCTTGGCAAGTAATACCAAATATTTAACACATAATTCCTTAATGAACTAATGGCAGCATCAGAATTGTGGTGGTAGAAGTTGTTACTTATCATGGAAAATTTTATGTCTGATATATTTAGCAACAGCAGTTTAGGAGATCGAGGAAATATAACTCATTGAAACAAAGTATATATTAACCCTTAACACATAACCTTTTCTATTGCAAACATCAACTAGATGCATTTCACCATTAATCTTTCTATGACAACATATAATTCTATTTATAAAGATGTTAAAATTAGTGAAAATTCAGTTTTGTTCAGAATTTGGACAATATGTCTAATATTATATACAAAACTGAACGTGATCATTGAATGTACTGACTTCTCCATCTGAGGATGTTTTGGCTGCTGTGAAGAGAGAATCCTCTTTGTACAGTCCTCAAATAGTTATTGTATTAAAAACCAGGCAACCACAAACAAATTACATGTATAAGAGACAAAGCTAAATCACTGTTTTTATTTTCATATCACAAAACTTGACAGCAATATTTTCCATGAAAAAAAAATCGCCAGAAAAATGGTCACACACTTTTTCCCAGATTTGAGCTGTGAAATCAGGAAAATTTCCCTGATTGACAGTTTCAAAGATTAACAACCGTGTGTTATATTGAGATATATCATACTATGTAGACTTGTCTTCATATTCTTTGTTCTTACCTAGACTGGACTATGGTTGTGTACAGTGTGCTTTGGAAGTTGGAGGCGGCCAAGTCCTCGCCATCCATTGAGATATCTGACAGAGGAAACTGTTCTATGGAATCATTGGCTGGGTGTGTCACATGATCTTCTGGCTCTGTAGCATAATGACGGTCAAATCATCATTTATCACCAATCATCCGTCATACTAGTCTTACAAAGAATTACTTTACACATACAACTAAAATAGAACTCTAAAGCATGAATACATGGAATAATTGTATATGTGGCTCAATGAAATATGCATCTACAAACAAAAAAGGAATATATGCTAAAATTTGGTGTTAAAAATTAGAGTGATTCATTTGATAAAAACAGCCATTGTACAAAAACAATACTACTATGAATATGAATAATGGAAAGCTTACGTAAAGCACATTACTGGACAGAAACACAATGTATATTACTTTTTGTCCTTACTTTGACCTTCACCTATTGGCATGACCTTAACCTTACCATTTTTGTTTGGTTTTGTGACCATTGCTTTGGCTTCAGACTCGTTGGTAACTGCAGAATCAGCAACAGCCAGTGTGGAGGTGGCCAGCTCAGAGAAGCGGGCTCGGATGTTCTCTAGCATGAGGTCAGTATTTGCGGGCGTCTTCTCCTTTCGACTTGTCTTTGGCTTGTCCTTGGTCAGGGCTAACGCCGCCTGGACAGTCTCCAGCCAATCAGCACCCAGACAGCTGTCACCTCCGCCTGCTGATACAGATATTAACTGGTCTTATCTTAATGCTTCTTGTCAATCATACTAATATATTAGATCATGATACTTGTTAATACATAACACTGTTAGGGATAAAAACAAGAGGCCCAGAGGACCTGTATCGCTCACTCGTTAATACATAACACTGTTAGGGATAAAAACAAGAGGCCCAGAGGACCTGTATCGCTCACTTGTTAATACATAACACTGTTTGGGATAAGAACAAGAGGCCCAGAGGACCTGTATCGCTCACTCATTAATACATAACACTGTTAGGGATAAGAACAAGAGGTCCAGAGGACCTGTATCGCTCACTTGTTAATACATAACACTGTTAGGGATAAAAACAAGAGGCCCAGAGGACCTGTATCGCTCACTCGTTAATACATAACACTGTTAGGGATCAGAACAAGAGGCCCAGAGGACCTGTATCGCTCACTCGTTAATACATAACACTGTTAGGGATCAGAAATATATATACACCATGATGGCTGTAATATTTATAAACACTCATAATAGTGTTCACATGTGAGGGTTTTTGTTACCCAGATGGTTTATCAAGCGAGTGTGTCAGATTGTGTAGTGTTTGCTATTACAAACATCTACTTGCTATAATCGGTACCAAGAACCCAGATAGATTATTAAATGAGTGTGTCACATTTCGTAGGGTTACAAACACATACCTGCAGACTTGGTGTCCAGATCACATTTCGTAGGGTTACAAACACATACCTGTAGACTTGGTGTCCAAATCACATTTCATAGGGTTACAAACACATACCTGTAGACTTGGTGTCCAAATCACATTTCATAGGGTTACAAACACATACCTGTAGACTTGGTGTCCAGATCACATTTTGCAGGGTTACAAACACATACCTGTAGACTTGGTGTCCAAATCACATTTCATAGGGTTACAAACACATACCTGTAGACTTGGTGTCCAGATCACATTTCGTAGGGTTACAAACACATACCTGTAGACTTGGTGTCCAGATCACATTTTGTAGGGTTACACAACAACACATACCTGTAGACTTGGTTCACATTTTGTATCATACATTTCGTAGGGTTACAAACACATACCTGTAGACTTGGTGTCCAGATCACATTTCATAGGGTTACAAACACATACCTGTAGACTTGGTGTCCAGATCACATTTCGTAGGGTTACAAACACATACCTGTAGACTTGGTGTCCAGATCACATTTCGTAGGGTTACAAACACATACCTGTAGACTTGGTGTCCAGATCACATTTCGTAGGGTTACAAACACATACCTGTAGACTTGGTGTCCAGATCACATTTCGTAGGGTTACAAACACATACCTGTAGACTTGGTGTCCAGATCACATTTCGTAGGGTTACTAACACATACCTGTAGACTTGGTGTCCAGATCACATTTCGTAGGGTTACAAACACATACCTGTAGACTTGGTGTCCAGATCACATTTCGTAGGGTTACTAACACATACCTGCTAGACTTGGTGTCCAGTCACTGTCCTGAGTACGATCTTTTAAAAACTGCATCAGTAAAGTCTCCTCATCTCCAACCCTGTAATCACACAAACCACATATCATACTGACTATATCTTGACAATTATTAGCAAAATCTACAAAACTATCCCTTCTGGCCGGGAAACATAATAAATAAATTATAAACAAGCCATGTGTAGAAAATGGCCCTCTCCTCTACATTTCTAATTGAATTAATTTTTTTCTGTAGTTACTAATGCCGTATATAAATGACATATAAATAAAATACAAGAAATTTAGTTGAGCTTTTAACTCTAATAGTCAAAATCTCAACTGAGAAAATTTAAACAGCCAACTTTTCAAATTGTCAAGACCACAAATGATCCGAGTGCATTGCTGTAGTGCTCACTTTGATAAAAGAATAATTTACATTTTTTATAATATCGGTGTGTTGACATGTTGCTGTAGTCTACAGTATGAAGTGAGAGTGTCACTCATGTGTAATTTATCACTCATTCATAACCTTGTTTTTTCATTGTGTGCATATATTATACATATTCCTTTTTAATTCTAACAATGAATGCACTTAGTTATATATATTCCATAGTTTTTAATACTTTAATTCTGGTTTTTCTCGTCATCAATGCCTTAGAAATCGAAAGCAAAATCTGAGTCCACCATTTTGTAAACAGGCTGACATAATCCCGCCGATTTCCCAGTATTTTATTGTTTTAATAGATATTTATGCTTGAAAGACAAGAAGATTATCATTATAATTCTATGCTTGATGTTTGTTTGTTACATCAAAAGTTTCTACAGACAGCCATGCCTAACTGCCAAATAACACAAACCTGTTTCGTGATGTCATAATACGTCACAAAGGAAAGAAGGCACATTTACTGCAATGTCTCAAAACATCATGAATGACAAGCGAACACTGTTTTGTGATGTCACAAGACATCATGAGTGCCATACATCTAGAGCTAAGTTATTAGGTTGTGTATAAACCTGTTATCTATCAAATGTTCAGAGATAGAGATATCTAACATTTCTTATTATCAAGAACAGATCCTGTATACTTGTTATAATCTTTCCCTATCTTACAATATTTTGCAGTTTTCACTTGCCTGTTTTCTGAGCCAGTGATGTTAGATGATACCTTGGCCATACCAGAAGCTGTGTTCCCTCGCCGGTCAAGGTCATTCTCCTCCCAGGTCATACTGTTTTCCACATCGTTGTCTAACGACCTGTTACAGTCAGAAGCAACATTTAACAATGGCAAAACAAACAATACTATCAACATATTTGTTATTGTCTCTGAAAGATGGAAGGTTATATGTCATGGCATCACACCAATTATCTATCCCAAGACTGTTTATATTAAAACATTATCACATTGTGTATCAACAGAAAATTATCGAATTGGTATTGATTTATCTAACTGATATTGCCAGTATAAAATTACATTGTTTCTTCATCAATGTCATTTTCATCGTTGTTTTCTGTGATGGCAGCTTGTGTTCCAGGCTCTCCAATGTCGTCCAAGTCCTCTATAGAATACTGACTCAGCTCCTGTAATGTTAATCAATAACTGTTGTTAGCACCGTTTACACTTGTTCCACGGAGTGTCACAGAGAACAGTAGGGTTACAGTGGAACATGCTAATTAAGAAAATATTTTCTGAAAATTATTCTTTATGATTAAAAAGACAGTCATCATCATGCTACTTTCATTTATAAATAATTTTATCTTTGACTTAATGACCTCAAAAGCACAGGAAACCATTCTATTCTAGATAGTGTATCAAATATAAACAGTGTTTGTGGGGAAAAGACAGCATGGCAACTATTAAACTTATATTTAAGATCAAACCTTGAGTGAGATCGTGTGACTGATGACTTACAACCCTCAGGTTATTCAACAATTTTTTATGCGAAAATATGGGCTATCACATCTTTAACAGAATGTTAGTTATTTTCCAAACATTGAATTTCTACTATAGTGACTAAATTTCTACTATAGTGACTAATCACGAACACTTTCCTTTCTTAACCTAAAATGAGACCCCAAACATCATCTCCTCCAAACTAAACAAGACAATTCAGCAAATTACAGTCCTCCAATTGATGTTAATTATAACAAGAGGCGCAAGGGGCCTTAACAGTCACCTGTGGAATATATGTCAATAATCTGGGTATTTTAAGATGTTGCAAAAATATAACAACACTTGTGCAGGACCAAGTGTAAAACATCTGTACCAAGTTTGAACATGACCCATCCAATGGTTCTTGAGAGGAAGTCCATAATGTCTTAGCCAAACAGAGGCCAGGGTGGCCATCTTGGATTTTGAATCGCCCCAAAAAGTTAAAACACTTGCCAGGACCTTGTGTAGAACAACCGTATCAAGTTTCCCCTTTCCCCCCCTCCTGAGGCCCCTATTGGGGCCACGCCCTTTTTCTTCGCAAACTTGAAGCAGATTCCCATGGGGATGCTTTGTGCCAAGTTTTGTCAAAATCCATCCAATGGTTCTTGAGAAGTAGTCATTTAATGAAGGTTTTTACATATGGCCTCTTTTACACCCCTTATGGGCCCCAAAGGGGACATTATCTCTTTTTTCAACACAATTTCATATGTGCTTCACCAAGGGATGCTTTCTACCAAATTTGGTTGAAATCGGTCAAAGTTGAATTTTCAACCCTTTTGAGCGCCCCCTAGTGTGGCCGTTTTTGACCCAATTGTTTTTCATTCGCAAACTTTGTAGACCTTGCTATAAGAACCCTTCATATCAAATATGAATTTAGTCTGACTGTTGGTTCATGAGAAGAAGATTTTTAAAGATTTACCTAATTTTACCCCCTTTTTCCCCCTCCTGCGGCCCCTATTGGGGCCACGCCCTTTTTCTTCGCAAACTTGAAGCGGCTTCACATGGGGATGCTTTGTGCCAAGTTTGGTCAAAATCCATCCAATGGTTCTTGAGAAGAAATCATTTAAAGAAGGTTTTTACATATGGCCTCATTTAAAGAAGGTTTTTACATATGGCCTCTTTTACACCCCTTATGGGCCCCAAAGGGGACATAATCACTTTTTTTAACATAATTTCATATGTCCTTCACTAAGGGATGTTTTCTACCACATTTGGTTGAAATCGGTCAAAGTTGAATTTTCAACCCTTTTGAGCGCCCCCTAGTCGGGCCGTTTTTGACCTGATTTTTTTTCATTCGCAAACATTGTAGACCTTGCTATAAGAACCCTTCATATCAAATATGAATTTAGTCTGACTGTTGGTTCATGAGAAGAAGATTTTTAAAGATTTACCTAATTTTACCCCCTTTTTCCCCCTCCTGCGGCCCCTATTGGGGCCACACCCTTTTTCTTCGCAAACTTGAAGCAGCTTCACATGGGGATGCTTTGTGCCAAGTTTGGTCAAAATCCATCCAATGGTTCTTGAGATGAAATCATTTAAAGAAGGTTTTTACATATGGCCTCTTTTACACCCCTTATGGGCCCCAAAGGGGACATAATCACTTTTTTTAACATAATTTCATATGTCCTTCACTAAGGGATGTTTTCTTCCAAATTTGGTTGAAATCGGTCAAAGTTGAAATTTTTATCCTTTTGAGCGCCCCCTAGTCGGGCCGTTTTTGACCCGATTTTTTTTTCATTCGCAAACTTTGTAGACCTTGCTATAAGAACCCTTCATATCAAATATGAATTTAGTCTGACTGTTGGTTCATGAGCAGAAGATTTTTAAAGATTTACCTAATTTTACCCCCTTTTTCCCCCTCCTGCGGCCCCTATTGGGGCCACGCCCTTTTTCTTCGCAAACTTGAAGCGGCTTCACATGGGGATGCTTTGTGCCAAGTTTGGTCAAAATCCATCCAATGGTTCTTGAGAAGAAATCATTTAAAGAAGGTTTTTACATATGGCCTCATTTAAAGAAGGTTTTTACATATGGCCTCTTTTACACCCCTTATGGGCCCCAAAGGGGACATAATCACTTTTTTTAACATAATTTCATATGTCCTTCACTAAGGGATGTTTTCTACCACATTTGGTTGAAATCGGTCAAAGTTGAATTTTCAACCCTTTGAGCGCCCCCTAGTCGGGCCGTTTTTGACCTGATTTTTTTTCATTCGCAAACATTGTAGACCTTGCTATAAGAACCCTTCATATCAAATATGAATTTAGTCTGACTGTTGGTTCATGAGAAGAAGATTTTTAAAGATTTACCTAATTTTACCCCCTTTTTCCCCCTCCTGCGGCCCCTATTGGGGCCACACCCTTTTTCTTCGCAAACTTGAAGCAGCTTCACATGGGGATGCTTTGTGCCAAGTTTGGTCAAAATCCATCCAATGGTTCTTGAGATGAAATCATTTAAAGAAGGTTTTTACATATGGCCTCTTTTACACCCCTTATGGGCCCCAAAGGGGACATAATCACTTTTTTTAACATAATTTCATATGTCCTTCACTAAGGGATGTTTTCTACCAAATTTGGTTGAAATCGGTCAAAGTTGAAATTTTTATCCTTTTGAGCGCCCCCTAGTCGGGCCGTTTTTGACCCGATTTTTTTTTCATTCGCAAACTTTGTAGACCTTGCTATAAGAACCCTTCATATCAAATATGAATTTAGTCTGACTGTTGGTTCATGAGAAGAAGATTTTTAAAGATTTACCTAATTTTACCCCCTTTTTCCCCCTCCTGCGGCCCCTATTGGGGCCACACCCTTTTTCTTCGCAAACTTGAAGCAGCTTCACATGGGGATGCTTTGTGCCAAGTTTGGTCAAAATCCATCCAATGGTTCTTGAGATGAAATCATTTAAAGAAGGTTTTTACATATGGCCTCTTTTACACCCCTTATGGGCCCCAAAGGGGACATAATCACTTTTTTTAACATAATTTCATATGTCCTTCACTAAGGGATGTTTTCTACCAAATTTGGTTGAAATCGGTCAAAGTTGAAATTTTTATCCTTTTGAGCGCCCCCTAGTCGGGCCGTTTTTGACCCGATTTTTTTTTCATTCGCAAACTTTGTAGACCTTGCTATAAGAACCCTTCATATCAAATATGAATTTAGTCTGACTGTTGGTTCATGAGAAGAAGATTTTTAAAGATTTACCTAATTTTACCCCCCTTTTCCCCCTCCTGCGGCCCCTATTGGGGCCACGCCCTTTTTCTTCGCAAACTTGAAGCGGCTTCACATGGGGATGCTTTGTGCCAAGTTTGGTCAAAATCCATCCAATGGTTCTTGAGAAGAAATCATTTAAAGAAGGTTTTTACATATGGCCTCTTTTACACCCCTTATGGGCCCCAAAGGGGACATAATCACTTTTTTTAAACATAATTTCATATGTCCTTCACTAAGGGATGTTTTCTACCACATTTGGTTGAAATCGGTCAAAGTTGAATTTTCAACCCTTTTGAGCGCCCCCTAGTCGGGCCGTTTTTGACCTGATTTTTTTTCATTCGCAAACATTGTAGACCTTGCTATAAGAACCCTTCATATCAAATATGAATTTAGTCTGACTGTTGGTTCATGAGAAGAAGATTTTTAAAGATTTACCTAATTTTACCCCCTTTTTCCCCCTCCTGCGGCCCCTATTGGGGCCACACCCTTTTTCTTCGCAAACTTGAAGCGGCTTCCCATGGGGATGCTTTGTGCCAAGTTTGGTCAAAATCCATTCAGTTGTTCTTGAGAAGTCGAAAGTTTGAAAAGTTAATGATGCACGACAACAGACAAATCATGAGGGCAATAGGTCACCATGAGCCTTTGGCTCAGGCGACCTAAAAACTAGTTACAGTGATCTACTTTTGATACATTTAAATAACACACTGCCTCAAATATGAAATTCCAAAAACAAGTGTTATAGGAGTCAGGAGTTGGCACAAACCTTTTTAAAAAAATGAATATCAAAGGTCAAAATGCAGGTCAGTGTGACCTACTTTTGATAAACTATACACTTCCCTCACCACTGTGAACCCATACTTCAAGTATGAAGTTGCAGTGACAAGTAGCGTAGGAGATAGAGGCAGGACAAGATGGCAGGACGAATGGAGAGAAGGATGAACAGACATAACACAAATCTATAGAACCAGCCTGATTCACAGTGAATAGTCGATAACGTTGAAGAAAAAAGAACATGGCATAATTCAAATGTATATAATGCATTTGATTAGTTAATACAATCCTTTCCAAATCCCCCTTTCTTAATTTCATAATACAATGGTAATTTTCAGTTTCTAATTTGTAAAACTACAGCAGGTTTTGACAAACAACAAAGTATTATATAGAGAGCTAAGAAACATGCTTGCACTGGTACCTCATTAGAGTCTGTTGTGTCAGAGTCGGAGTCTGTATCCAAATTCTCGTCATCTGACCTCTCTATCTCGATCTCTGATCCTGTGCCTGGATGGATGGGTTTGGGATGTAGAATAGGGTGTTGTACTGAGGGATTATCACCCCCATGGGGATCAATCAGTGGCAGGGGGGAGTCTGAAATTGATGCCAGAAAATTAGTACAACCAAGTGTGGATAAATTAATGAATTAATGTGTATTCAGGGCTCTCACACCCCATTTTCGGACTGGGGTACAGGACCCTTAGAATTGGGAACAAGAGGCCCATGGGCCTTAACGGTCATCTGACAAAAAGCAAGCCAAACCTAGAAAGTGGGTTGAGGTCATTCATTTGAACAAACTTGGTAGCCTCTCCTCCAAGCATCTTACAGGCCCAATATCAGCACTCATGGACTTTTGCTTGTTGAGAAGAAGTCGTTTGTATATTTTAACATATTTGACCCCTGTGACCTTGAAAGTGGGTTGAGGTCATTCATTTGAATAAACTTGGTAGCCTTTCCTCCCAGCATGCTACAGACCCAATATCGGCACTCATAGACTTTTGCTTATTGAGATGAAGTCCTTTGTATATTTTAACATATTTGACCCCTGTGACCTTGAAAGTGGGCCAAGGTCATTCATTTGAACAAACTTTGTAGGGCTCCATGCCAGCATGCTATGGGCCAAGTATTAGCCCCCTAGGCCTTCTAGTATTTGAGAAGAAGTTATTTAAAGATTTTGACATATTTGACCCCTGTGACCTTGAAAGTTGTTCAAGGTCATTCATTTAAACAAACTTGATAGCCCTTCATCCCAGCATGCCACAGGCACAATATCAGCAATCTGAGCCTTTTGGTTATTGAGAAGAAGTTGTTTAAAGATTTTAACATATTTGACCCCTGTGACCTTTAAAGTGGGTCAAGGTCATTCATTTGAACAAACTTGGTAGTCCTTCATCCCAGCATGCTACAGGCCTTATTTTAGTTGCCTGGGCCTTTTGATTACTGAGAAGAAGTCCTTTGAAGGTTTAAAGACATTTGACCCCTGTGACCTTGAATGAAGGTCAAGGTCATTCATTTGAACAAACTTGGTAGGGTTTCATCAAAGCAAGCTACAGGCTAAATATTAGTTGCCTGGGCCCTCCAGTTATTGAGAAGAAGTCGTTTGAAGATTTTAAGACATTTGACCCCTGTGACCTTGAATGAAGGTCAAGGTCATTCTTTTTAACAAACTTGGTCGGGCTTCATTAAAGCAAGCTACAGGCCAAATATTAGTTGCCTGGGCCTTCCAATTATTGAGAAGAAGTCGTTTGAATGAAAAGTTTACGGACGGCGCACGGCGCACGACGACGGACGAAGCATGATGACTATAGGTCATCGGACCCTTCGGGTCAGATGACCTAAAAATAATGGTGTTTTCCTTAGAATTGGGAAAACGTCGGGTCTAAATTGGGAAAAAAAAATACTATTTTGCATTGGGAATATCGGCCCCAAATCTGGCAGATCGAGAGCCCTGGTATTAGATACTATTTTTTGACAAGAGGCTAAATGACCACGAATCATTCACTTTTGCAAAAATGAAATATGGAAAATTTTGAGGGACAACCTATTTGTTGATAAATTATAATAATATAATGGACCCAATGGAAATATAGTGGCTGGTGAATAAGTCACAAAATGTTTAATGTCCTCCTACCTCCTGATGTTGTGGCTCGTTTACTGGATCCTTTACTTCTAGACATTTCCATCAGTAGAACTCGCTGTCAACAAACAAAAATGTGAAAAATATTCTCTAGTTTTGATGAAGATGGTGGTGAGTGCAAAATCTAACTGAAGTAAAAATCAAACAAATGTATGGACAACATATCAGTGAAATCTTCAATTCCAAATCTAATTACAGACTGATTAAATTTGGATTTTAACAGGACACTGACATGTCGTCCGCACATTTTATAAATTTATTTTAATGTGCTTGCGTGGATTCTGTTTACCATAGGTATTCATACCTGAGTCAGCCATAAAGAATTTTTTACTAGTGACATTCAGGAACCTTGTGCCTCCAAACCCCAGTAGTAATCAAATTATGGCAGTAGAAATATGGCAATACCAGACATTTAATATATTACAACAGTAACAATTAACATCCTGATATCAAGTCTGATGACAGTTCAGAAATAGATTTTAAGCAGAAGGTTATAAGTTATGTGGAGACATAAAAATATTGAACATAGCCCATTATCGTTTATCAAGCCTATATTTGCCTGGTAGAAAAATCTCAGGAAATGAAATCAGAAAGAATTAACTCAAAATGAGAGCAATTACACTTAAATAGAAAAGATAGAACTGACCTCCTTCAGATGGTTGAGTTGTCCCATATTTTGAGCTTGTGCTGATTCCAGCTGATTGATATACCTAAAACATTCAAGATTTTAAGATTTACTTAAAACTTTAGGCCATTTGCACATCATTACAACATATTTAACCATATATAGCAAAGTGTATACATACAAGTGTTTCTATGTTTCAGAGGCATCAGTGAAGATATATAATACTTCAAACTGTTACAGAGAAATTATCATTATTTGCTGTTAACCAACACATAGGGACAGGTTTGCCTGCATGTTAAATAAATGAACGTGCACATCCATCATTATACTAGATAACAGGAAAATGTTTTACAAAATAGACTCGACAAACAACGGGAGGTTTGGTAATACAAGTCATATCACTGTGTCTATTCTACAACTGAAAACCATAACCAATTATGAAACACTTACCATTGTTGGTCCCTACACTTCTGGTAGAAAGTTGGAGGTCGCACCTGGAATCGAAGAATTAGTGTATCAGATTCTGTATCTAAGTATCCCTCACTGGCAAGTAGATCTAAACGGAAAAAGCGATTGTAACCCCAACATTCTCCAACTTCAAAGTCTGATGCAAACTCTCGGACAATGTTTTTACTGCTGTCACGAGAGACTTGATGAACCATCTCCACACGGTACTCGTACCTAAACAAAAACAAAACAACATGTTAGGGACTTTGTGTTAATCTGAATGTTTCTGTGTACATATACAATCATTCTGAACAACTGAACGAGTACAATCATATCTATAGATTTTTTCTAATCAACTATTGTTCCCCCCCCCCCTTTTTTTTTAACTTTTTTAAGAATATAACTTTGAATATGAATATTTTTTTATATTTTAAAGGTTTTAATTGTTAATTACTGTACTTCATAAGCATGTGACAGTTCACAATATTGAGACAAAAACTAAATAATAAATAGCATAAAATGAAACAAAGAGTCTGTTTACTGTATATCAATATATCTTCTTAGGGCTCTAGTTATGTGGTTTTTCACATTTAAGATTAATTTTTTCTTGGCACTTCATTTTGAGATAGTATTCATGAAATTCACTTCTACTAGAAAAAAATGTCAATAAATATAAATTTGTGGATTAGAGTACCAACAAAATCAAATAAAATCTAACTCCACACAAATATAATTATCTATAGTATAAAATGGTCTGGATCTAATATGACAAATACTAGTGAAAATGACATTTGATAATTTAAGTTATATTTTAAGTTTTATGTCTACAATTTGACATTTCAAAGCTACCTTTTATTGTTTTGTTAAATTTTCTTGTTTAAAAATCCTGTATTCTAGGCTGTATGTTTTTTTCTTACTTTGATGTTTCTGACAGGCCTGCTGACAACTCCAGAAAGACAGACAGATAGTTCCCCCGTACAACACCATTGCCATCCTGTACACAAAATCAACATAGCATAAATACAAACTCAATGAAACATGACATCTTTAATTTCATAAACCAATCGAAAAAAAAAAAGGAAAAAAGAAAATGGCCACTCACAACTTACAACAAATAAGATATCTGTTGAAAATTAATCCATTGCATAGGATCTGTTATTTGTTACTTTACATATTTACAGTCAATATTTTGAAGATTAACAACTATGTATTAAGTTTTTAATGAGAAGATATCAAGCGTCAAGCTCATCCAATGTAGCCAATAAATGACTCTGTGCCTATATTGAAAATTTCCTAAAACTCACTGGGTAGACTTTCAATCTCCAGCTAAGACCTGACACATGGAGGGGTTGACTGTAGACAGGGTCTGCCCTCTGTTGTAGTCCACTGAATTTCTTCATCACAAATGTACTGGTATCATATTGCGGCACAATCTCGCTAGAATGAAAAAGTTGTTACCACAGATGTACTTGTGTAATACTACAGCACATTCTCGATAAAATGACAATGTCATTATCACAGGTGTACATGTGTAATACTACAGCACATTCTTGATAAAATGACAATGTCATTATCACAGGTGTACATGTGTAATACTACAGCACATTCTCGATAAAATGACAATGTCATTATCACAGGTGTACATGTGTAATACTACAGCACATTCTCGATAAAATGACAATGTCATTATCACAGGTGTACATGTGTAATACTACAGCACATTCTCGATAAAATGACAATGTCATTATCACAGGTGTACATGTGTAATACTACAGCACATTCTCGATAAAATGACAATGTCATTATCACAGATGTACTTGTGTAACACTACAGCACATTCTCGATACAAAGAAGATGTAATTCATCACAAGTGTACTAATGTCACATTGTGGCAGAATCTCTTTACAGCCCAAATTTCACTTATCACAAATATGTCAACCTTCAGCATACTTTCGCTACAATGAAAAGAATACCGGTAGTCATCACAAATGTATTGAAAGTCATACTGTGACAGGATCTTGTTACAATGAAGAACATGTTGTTAAAGATTCACACATCCTGTACATTTACACTCATACTACAGTCACAAATAGAAAACTTCCACAAAAAGAAATTCCATTCACAGGTCAACAAACAAAATTTGATAAGTTTTATATCCTACCTGGTAAAGTCATCTGGTGATGTCACCCAGACAAACAAATGACCAATTTACACACTATCAACACTATCAAAGTATTTACCTCATTGTCATCTGGCAGGGCTCTCGATCTGCCAGATTTGGGGCCGATATTCCCAATGCAAAATATTATCTTTTTTCCCAATTTAGACCCCAAGTTTTCCCAATTCTAAGGAAAACACCATTATTTTTCCCAATTCTAAGGGCCTTGGGCCCCAGTCCCAAAATGGGGTGTGAGAGCCCTGTCTGGTGATGTCACCCAGACAAACAATTGACCAGTTTACACACTTTGATGATGTACCTACCTAGTAAAGTCAGCTGGTAACACCACCCAGACAAACAACTGACCAGTTTACACACTTTCATGATATACCTACCTAGTAAAGTCAGCTGGTAACACCACCCAGACAAACAACTGACCAGTTTACACACTTTGATGATGTACCTACCTAGTAAAGTCAGCTGGTAACACCACCCAGACAAACAACTGACCAGTTTACACACTTTCATAATATACCTACCTAGTAAAGTCAGCTGGTAACACCACCCAGACAAACAACTGACCAGTTTACACACTTTGATGATGTACCTACCTAGTAAAGTCAGCAGGTACTGCAGCAGTGACAAAAGAGGCCATGGGTTTCCTGTTGACATGTTTAAAGAGTTGCACAAGTTCACTGCTCTGGGCGATGAGTTCACTTTTACCCCTACTACCCATCTGATGGTTAATCTTCTGTATAAGGGACTCGAGCAGCTCAGTCTCCTGGGTCAGCTGACCTCTCTGACCTGTTGAAAAGGAAATGAGATACCACTCCAATCAAAACTTACAAATGTATCAATCACACTTAGTTAAACCAACATTCTCTATCTACTTAAACTGCAAAGGTGCACAGGAATAAGCCCACTCTCTCTGTGAAGATATTAAGACACTGATTTATCACTATAAACAGCTTGACCCAATTTTTATCAAATTAAACTTATAATTGTGAAGGGTGGAAGTTAAGACTTCCCACAAAATTTATTACAAAACACATTCTTAAACAAAAAAATAGAGGCAAATTTTCATCCATAAAAAATCTGTGAAAATGTTCTGCACTAACAGCTCTTCACTGAAATATCAACTTTTGGACAATGTCTTGATTCTCGCACTGATAAATTCATGTTTGAAGGATTTGTATTCATTTTTTCACTTTTAAGTTTATATTTCAGAGAATTGTGTTTCATTTTATTGTGGCAATCTTTTCACACAGTCAGAGTTATGTAGTTTCTACTTACCCATCAAGGTGAGTAGTTTGGATTTAAGCTGAGACTCTAGTCTGGCAATCATCAGTTCCACAGCATTCCTAATTTCTCGCACTCGCTCATCTTTGGCAGTTTTTACACTCTCTATGTTCCTTTCCTGTAAATACGATTTGATATAAACTTATTTACCATATTTTCCGGATTATAAGCCACACCTTCTTCCCTTGTGAGTTGGGCATGCGAGTTAACACCCTCCTTGTAAAGAAAGATTATTGTACAAAGTATTGGTCTATAGGAAAAAGATGTGCACACAAGCCAATAACTCAACTTCAGATTGCACCAACCCTTACACCAGAAGTTGGGCGTTGTACGATCCTTGCTCAACAGATGTGAAACGATTGTCACAGAGGAACAAGGCATGAAGCAAGAACAAAATCACATGCATAGTGCCATAACATGTGGATACCCGGATTGGGCAATCCAGAAAGTTAAAAATGAACTTGATACAAACAAGAGACTTAGACAAAACACCAAGGAAAAGAACAAAACGACAAGTTGTCATCCCCTACATCAAAGGCCTGTCACCTTACATCAAAGGTCTGTACGAAACCATTCAGAGGATTTACCATGGTCATGGTATTGCAACAGACATGAAACTTCACAAGACTCTCCAAAATATATCCTAGTCCTAGTTGCTGAATATATATACAAAATTGGGTGAAAGAACTTAACACATTTTCAAAATTATACGATAAAATTTAAGAAACACTATCCATAATTTTCACATACTGTATAAAACATTTTGTGGTATAGCACTGTAGTCCTTATTCCATCGCAGAGAACTCACTAACAAATTCAGTTAGTCTTTCATTTTCTCTAAATCTGCTTCTAATGAAGAAAGGATTATCTTTCTATTTTTCTTTCCATATAAAATGAAATGAAACAAGAGTGCCGTGGACACTATACGCCGCCACAAAATATAAAGGTCAAGGAAAACCGTAAAATCGCTACTTCCAGCACATCTAACCATTGTAGTAGTGACACTGAGCAAGTTTCGTGAAAATCTGATCATCAGTTTAGGAGGAGTTGCGTTCACAAGAAATGGACGAACGATGAACGTAAGGATGGACGTACGGACGGACAGACGGAGAAGATGACGCCAATATACGACCGCTTCCGGCGGTGTATAAAAATGTAAACTGAAAGCAGCTGTTGTTTAAAATGTACTGTTTCAATGTATCTTGGAAACTTACCACATCTTGTACGAGGCTGATGAGTTCTACATGACGACGCTTCAATTGATTCAGCTCCTCTGTAACTTTCTTTACATGTTCTTCATACACACCATCTAGTGGTTTAAAGGTATGGCCGGAATGCTAAAAATGTAATAATTATTGGTATCAATATAATATTGAAAGCATTTAAGTGCAAGTGACCGAAATTTGATGGATTAAGATATTTAAATCTATGACATAAAAAGTGCAGTACAGTAGGCTTCAAGAAAAAATCAACCAGAGGTAACAGAGATTACCGATAAATGCCTCCAAGCTTCCCCATCTAACATTTATTGTTTAAATATCCCTTTGACAAATTAGAAAATTTAAATTGGAATAATAGAGTACGACTATTGGTAGTGTTAGGACTTACTGTTCCACCCCAGAGAGCACACTGGTGACATATACACTGCTTACACGCCCAACAGTACACACTCAGCTTCTCCTGGTGTTCCTCACAGCTGTAAACAAAGCACAAAGATGTAAACAAAACACAAAGATGTACCAGTATCACAGCTCTTCAAGAGCACCGATACTCCTCACAGCTGTAGAGTCAATAAAGATGTTCAACACAACAGGTATTCACAACCCCCTGTCCACTCCTTATTTATTACAGTGTTTTTTAACATCCTACCTGACAGTGTTAAATCAGCATGGTCAAAACATGGATTAGAAATAGGAAAGAAATCTAATCATTCAAAGTGCTACAACAGGGAAACAGATCAATTCTACTGTCTTCACGCCGATGATCTCAAAAAAAATACAACCCAAAAGGAATCCCTGGTTCTGCCCCTCAGTTATTTCTTCTATTCATGGTGATATAGCACATCAGTCTAGGTTCCCATGATATCCTCTACAAAGAAGACATCAGATGTTACGCCCCTCAGTCTGAAGGGGAACATATACTTACATGTAGCAGCCTTTCATAACGTGTAACAAGATACCACATGCATATTACTTCACTGAACCTTACAAATTTGGTTACAGCTTGCTTTTCACAAAGTTATTACTTGACAAATGGACATAACTTTCACTCTTCTGGTCATTTTGCCCTGAACTTTTTCCAAGTTCCTCTGCTAAATCTCTACCTACAAAACTTACATGTCCTTATCACCTTCCTCCTTTTTAACAACTGGGGCACATTCCTTAAGGGTATCCAACTTCTGAGTCACTTCTTCAGCCCAGCGACAGTTGACAAGCTCGTGGGTGTGTAGAGATGCCCTATAAGTAAGAGGTATATAATTTTGAACACAGTAGATACAGACTGATCATAACATCAGCCTCTTATCCAGATATATCTATCTTGTGAAAACCCTGAGAGACAAACACCTTATCTTGTAGGTAGGCTGTTGTAATACAGGGAAATGATAAAGTAGTTGGTGTTGCAAGAATTTTGAAATCACAGTGATTGATAAATTTGCGGGTATAGTGCGCACTTGGGTGTAGTGCGCACTCGGGTGTAGTGCACAGGTACCTTTTTGGGGTCAGATTAAAAAAAAAAAAAAGGTTTTCTATAGAAAGATTAATTGATTACTGGTTACCGCGATGAAACAGTTGATGTGGTTTGATCCATTGATAATTAGGAAACCACAATCATCATGACCCTAACATATTTAATTAATATATGTAAACAAATTCACACATGTGCCTGACTTAACAAGCATGAAAGGCTTGGCTAATTGGATAATTAATGGTTCTTAACAGGTAACAAACATGTTGAGTATGAGGAGATTGATGACACCCGACTTGAGCTGAACACGTGCTATTGCTCAGAAAACGATGTTGTTTTAACTGTCTGAAAAGTTTCAATCCTACCTTGTCCCCATATCTGAACCGATTTATGAACAGAACGACAATCGCCAAAAAACTTCCGGACTCATTGAATTCCAGAGATACATCATCAAAATGAGGCAGAAATTCAGACACTACTATAGCCCCGACCAATAGTAAACCGTGACTATTCGAATGACAGGAAACGAAAATAAAAAATAACAAAAAAAAATAGATTTACCGTAATGCTAGCGTGTAAGGCTGATGATTAAAACATTCAAATTTTATTTTTTTTGTTGTTGTTGTTTTTGTATCCAAACTATCATATATGACAGACGACTTTTACATATAACTATGTGAAGGGAGGTAATCCAATATGGCAGACGCAGAACTCGGGAATGATAACCCCAAGAATGGCATGTTCCTGCGTATAATGCAAACCCCCTTTTTGACACGACAGTTTTAGCTTGAAAAAGTGCACACTATACACGGAAATTTACGGTACTTGGATGTACTACCAGGCAACAGCTTTTGCCATGTAGATATCGTCTATACCAATACTGTTACACATACCAGAATAGATAGTTATTGTGTACACAGAGGATGGAAACATATTTTTCAAAATTAATGCATCATATTGTCTTGAACAATATCGAGTAATCAAGTAAATACTAAAATGACAGTCACCATACCTGCAATGTGGACACTGAGATCGTTGTTCTGTAAGCCACCTCTGTAATATTATACAAAATGTGCATTTAAAAACAAAAACAAAAAAAAAGAAAGAAAAAAAGACAACATCTGTAATGTATTTTCTGTGTGTTAGTATGTTGATTGAAGGTTATTGGAAGATAAGCACACGCTAAATTTGTCATCCTCAGAAAATCAAGCATTATTATTATACTTTATTATTACATGGATTGAACTAAAAAATAGCTTTGTCAATACATTGATAGATCACTCTTATCTTACTCAATCCTTAACTTATATCTTCCACTGAATATATCTATATATTTGGATATTTCTCTAAAAATAGCATTTATTAAATTTTGATTTATTATAACAGCTTATAATCATAGCCTTAACAAACATTAAACAAACAAGCTCTATAGTATATAACTTCAGAGTGATTCAGAATAATCCATGTTAAGTTGATGAATTACTTTATTTACAAAGGAGCATTATAACTAATAACAATGATCACATCAGTTGGCATAAGTTGGCTATTTGAATTTGTGACTTATTACTGTGTCATCCATACCATGGCCATGAAAATTTCATATATTATAAATTAAAAACCACAAAACGAAACATTTCCTTATAATTAAATATCATAATGTGCCATTACCCGTATACATATGAAACAGCAAAGCTTGGAACAGTGAGGACACAGGCGGGCATCACGCAGCTTTTCCATACAAATGAAACATCTGAATACCTCAGCAAGGCCCTGTCAAAATACAAAAACATCTTTTAATATTCAAATATTTCATGATGGCCTCCCATCAACTCAGTATTAATCTGGATTGTAATCACAGGAGTATAGATACAGTCTGGATCAAAAGACAATAACATGAGGACATTTTGGGACCTAATGGTATGTCAACACTTTGCACACTGCCTTAAATAACATGATATAGTTTTACATTAATCATTAAGCTGGTTACGATTTTCAAAAAGCTTTTCAAGCATGTTAACATACAGTGACAAATTTTAAATCAGAAAAAATTAATGATATTGTTTTAAACAATATCAGACATCATTCTATTTATGTCACCCATTTGGCATTCATATCAACAGTAAATACAATCTGACCATAATTCAATGGTTAAATATTTAATCTGTTATTTTTGTTCATTACACGTTTTGTTATAACATTTTTGAGTATTGCACATATTGCCTATTTTGATGTCAGGTTTAGATAATGATATGAGTGCAGATTGCATTGTGACTTATCAACAAAATTAATATAGACCTGAAATTACCTCAAAGTTTCACATGGAAATGTCACTTTTCTACCACATTTGATCTTGTGATGAAAAGAAAACTCATGTATTCTAGGATCCTATATATGATATCTTATATTCTTATATTATTTTAAGTCAATTACAAAGCAATTTAGAAATCAGTGTAATACAATGTAACCGGTCATTTTTCATTTGTTTATTGCTAGCCTAAGGAATGAAATTGAGATCTAGACCTTTTATAAACTATAATAACATTATACACATGGACTTTTGAGAACTATTACTGCACGATATGTGCACTTGTGTCGGTGAGATGAGGCTAAACTGTAAGTAAATAGATCTTGAGGAAGTAACATGCGTGAGCCTGGAGAGTGTGTAATCGGCACATTCAACAAACATGAATCAACACAGTATATCCAGAGTAGGCGGACATATACTTTATCTATTGGAAAGATGCATCTTATGTGTGTAATGGAATTTAGCAGATTATTTAATTACGGAAATACATGAAAACAAAAAAATGTACAAAAAACATGAATGTTAGAAATGTGAATGTTCGATTATTCGTCAGAAAATGTCTCACTTCGACGGTGTGTTCCTCAAGTCTACCATCTTTTCGCCCACCGCCTGACGCCATTGTTCGGTGAATGTACGAGATTTAAGTTAACAGATGAACTCCACTTTGTAATTTATGTTGTCGGATATCAGCCGAATTTGCGTCCACTCATAACAACTGGTTTGTTTTGAGCTTCCGTCACCATTTTGTTTTTTAATGGCGCTAGAGTAGACATACAATTTTTCGGTGATAAATATATTTATGTGTACTTTCCAAATAAAGCCTACTTAAAGATATGAATAATTAAATATGAAAGAATTTTTGTTGCAACAAATATTTAATAATAATGAAGTATTGAAATTGTTTACATCAGTGATTTTTATCCAATTAACGACCACCTGTCCGTTTGTCCAGTCAGCTCAGTACATATTTAGGAATATAAAATTTAGATCCGGAAGGAAACGTAGGAGAGGAAGAAAAAAATTAAAGATCCTTACCCCTTTAAATCCTATTATTCGTCCCCGAATTTTCTCGGTCGTTTTTGCATTAATCCTTTTCTTGTTAGCGAGATCGAAATATGTTTGTTTATGGCTATGTTCACTTTAATTCTTATATTGATAACGAAACTCAAACCCCTCATGCCCCATACCATGAGTACGGACGGCTTAGATACCGGTATATTCAACAGTGCCCCGGGGGATATACAACCTGCTTTCAAGGTACATATCTTATCTTAAGCCTTTGAAACTCTGACACACCAACATAATACCAATCCTATAATTTTTAAATAGTGTTTGATGACGTTTGAAACTGACTTTTCAAGTACTGCAAATTGATTAAGGAATGCTTTACATGTCAGGTACGTTTAAGTGTCACGTGTGTGCATTAAGCGATGATTTTCAGACCGAATATCACTAACTTTCAGAAAATATATGCTGTTTGATTCTAGCAAATGATAGCATTTCCTGTACTATCATTTCCTGAGTTTTTTCCAGACAGAAGATGAAAAATAAAATCAAACAATGAGAAGTTTGGTCAATATGTGTATTACACCCAGAAAAGATGCATACGGGATGCATGCTTTGTGATCTCACATGCTGTCTTCCGTTTTTTGTTGTCTTTTTATTTATTAATCATTTCTGTATGTAATTATTTTTTGTATTTGTTTGATGTCCGCGTTTGATTTTCCGTTCACTGTGTCTCGTGTGGTGTGTTGATAATATTGTACATTGCATTCCATTTACGCGGAATTTTTATATACGGTAATAAACAAATGTACACACTTAGTTTCGGTCTCCATTTTTTCATCTGAATTTCAAAATCAAATGTTTATGGAGAAAAAGAATAAGAAAAAAGATATTCATTTGTTGTAAGTTGACAACTTCACTTATACAAGGACGTATAACACGTCACTGGCATTAAAATCTAACACCCCAATTTCATTTCATGGTCTGGTGACCACCATCTTCCTAGAAAAGTGTCTAGAGAATGTTTGAAATAGGCATATATATGTCAAGCGTATAATGCGTATTTGCTTCAGACTGGTACCTCTGGAGATCGCCAGTGTGCAAAACAAGAACAGCATCAACACGGAGATTTTAGACCCCTCCCCCTCCCCCCCCCCCAAAAAAAAAATAATAATAAACAAATAAAATAAAGATAAAAATTGAATAGATAGAGTCGGTAAAAAGTATTGACGCTTTGGAAACCGGAAACATAAGATATCTTTTTCTTGCTGTGTATATCACCTCAAGGCTTACAAAATGCACCTTTATAACATCAATCTGATGGCCTGAGTGAGCTGACCGGTGTTTGTGTGGTGGTAATATTTTTTTCTAATTACGGATATTAAGGAATATTTTTCTGAAATTTGAAACCTAGTAAGTGTGCATGAGGAACTTCTTGATGTAATTGGACCAAACATTTTTGTGCACGATATTCAATAGTTTGAATATCGACAAATTTGTGATTTGTATACCTGACTGTAAGGTGACCTGTTCTAAATATAGTCACGTCGACATTATCGATAATATTGAACACTGCACGGACTTCGATATACTTTCAAAGACAAAATATTTATAACGGAAAGTCTAACTAAGCCAAGATCTGCTCTTGTCGGTCGGTTAAATAAACTACGATAAGACAACCACATTCATTCACTATAGACAATAGACAGACGAATATTTTACAAAACCGGGGAAAATACAGGTAAAATTCTTGTCAAGGCGGAGGTATGTGTGAGTGCACTCGAGGCCAAGTATCGCCCACGTTCTACTGAAAACACATCATACCCGATGGCGTCGACTTCCTCCACAGCTTCCTAGATCCACGACTTACACCAAAAATGATGACTATATAAACAAGGACATAAACTTTGAACTTTGTAAAATATACAGATAACACGCATGTGATAGGTGTACACATGTGTTATAGCTTATATTGTATATGTAACGTGCACCCTATGGTAGCGCGCGTGCACGCCGGGTCTCTCAATTTAGACAGAGCTACCTGCTCCGGAAGCGATTGGAATTCCTCAGCTACCTGGCTGAGCAGTTGAACAATTACTCAATTTAATAAACAATATATCTATACACTACAACAGAGAAGGACAGTACCTCTGTCCACCATGTCACCATACACGAGCCAACAATGTGTCCGCGGTACGTATCACGTCGCCTAGGCGTATGTTGCCCAACAAGGCTACCACACACCGCAACACTAACAGACTGTCAGCACTACAACACTGCAAGCACGTCCCTTATTACTGAGCCGACCACCGTACAGCTCCGACGTCGCCTGCCAGTGTCCTGTTATTATCACAGTACAAAGTGTTGTGCCAAGTACTGTATCAGTAGTCAGGCGTACCAGAGTAGCCTTTGCAGGCAACCCCTTTTCAGGAGATTCTGGCGTACCTGACACGTCAACGTACTGGCACCGACCACACGTAACAATAACTGTTACCAGAGCTGCCTTATTCAGGCAACCCCTTACTCAGGAGCTTCTGGTAACAGTATAATTGAACTGTGTGCTATAATACTTTATTACCTGTGATATAGCCGACCTTCTTCCGTCTGTCAAAATCTTCTTTTCTTGTTTACTGGTTTCAACCAGTATTTACATAAAATCTTATGTATTATTCTGGGTGTCTCCAGTATTTTCCTTCTCAATTAATACAGCACCAAAACCCACAAATACGCAAGACAAATGTTTTTATTTATTTATACAGGTATGATTACACATTTAGTAAACACTAGTTTCATGAAAACATAAGTCAATCATCGATAATTAAAATAATTAGGTAGGTGGGGAATGATACAAAACAGGACGTATACAAAACGTTACATGAAGGGAGATAACTCTAACTGAATAAAATCGTCACACTTCCCCCTCCTTAAGTCGATGCGTCCCGCATGACAAATAGAACATTTAAAGACTATCTAAAACACCGATGATCACACTAACAGTCTCCAATATGTAATAAAAGTACAACTTTCAGTAGGTCTGAAGGACACAAACACTTCCGTCCACATTTCTTCAATCATCTAACAGTCCGCATACACCACAGGAGGTCTCCGTCTCATGCATCTCAACCAGCTCGATTTCCCTATCTCCTTCTGTGTACCTTGTCGTTTTCCAGACCACATGCCTCTCTATAACTGGCTTTGTCTGAGTAGACACACTCGCCATCGCCTTTGACACCCTAGGAACTTGATGGAGATTGGTAGGAGGCCTCTCTACCCTTGGGACTTTCTGTGGGATACAATTCCTGGGATCCTTGGGACTCAATTTCTCTGGCGCCCGTTTAGGGGTGAACACTTGATCTGGCCGTGTATGCTTCCTCACCGTTGGATCAGGGATGGCCTCTACATCAGGTTCCTCGCCAGCAGCAGACTCATCATGGTCTTCCCCATTGTCAGAGTCCGACACATCACCTAGGATGCTAGCAAGATCACCAGGGTCATTGTCTTTCCACGAGTCTTCCTCCTCTCTCACTGTAGAATAGCTACCTCCTTCACGTGAGGGTCCCGGCTGTGCCGTCTGTTCTACACTGTGTCTTCTCTTCGTGTGCCGGAGAAGATTGCTTGCCGAGGTGGTAGCAAATGGGCATTCTTCACATACGAAGGATTTCTTCTCCATTTCCTTCAGACCACACATGAGAATATGCTCCTTCATCCTTTCAATATCTACACTAGTGAATGCACACATGGGACATTTCTGTTCCTTCCTGTGAGTGGTCTTTGTCTTCACCATCTCTACAACATACAAAAAAGGGAAGAAAGGATTCAGATGATGTATGAAAATGGTTCACAACTTACAAAATCAGGAATACAAGAATACTATTGGTACTCTAACTAATCAAAATTAGTAACATATTCGGCCAGCCAGCGGGGTGGCCGTCTCGTACGTCGGGACGTGAATGGGTTTCCCCATTCGCCCTCACTCGCCTCGACGATTTCACAATCATCCCCAGAGGTACGGGGTATGATATCATCCCTAACAGTTTGGGGACCTTGTCCTGTGTCTTTGACCTCCCCCTCCTTAGGTTCTGAGGTACCTTTCATCGGTCCTGTGTCCGATGTTTGCTCGCCTGTTAGCTCTTGTCTTTTCTTCAGTTGCATGCGATCTACATGAACTATTTGTGGTGCACCGCGAGTCCCACACAGTACCTTGTAGGTGACATCTGAACATCTGCTTACTACCTCAAATGGTCCTCTCCAATAACTTGTAAGTTTTGAAGAACGGCCTGGTAGATACCTCGGGAAGTAAACATAGACCTGGTCTCCAGCCGAGAAGGTTTGCCAGCTGAGCTTTTGGTCGTGCCAGATCTTTTGTCGTAGCATTTCTGCATTTGTATGTTTTCTGACATGAGCATGAGCTGTCTCCATTTTTTCCTTTAGTTCCCAAGCCCATTGGTTTGTTGGAATTTTCTTTGCGTTTTGGGGTAGCTCATACATAATGTCCAGTGGCGTTGATACTTCCCTACCAAGCATAAGGGCGTTAGGGCTACTGCCAGTAGTTTCGTGAACTGCAGATCTATATGCCATAGTAACAAAAGGCAGATGGTCATCCCAGTCCGTGTGGTGGTCATTGACGTAGGAAGCCAGCATGGAATTCAGCGTACGATTGAACCGCTCAACCATACCATCTCCCTCCGGATG